TTGTTCATGTTCAGGGGTTGCTGTATCGGCTTCCGCCTGTTCTTGCTGCCTTTGGGCCGACCGAGCCTATTACTGGGGCTGTAGACGCAGACTTTCTGAGACCTTTCACACATCAAGCACGGATTCTCTCTAGTACATCGGCTTTTCATTTGTCGGCATGTATCACAGGCGGAGAGGATCCGGCTGAACATCTTGGAGTTCTTGTTGGGCCCTACTGGTCTGGTTCTGGGTTCGGCTGTGGTTTCAGCTTGGCCTTTCTCAAATGAAAAGTGACTGGATTTTTCAGCGGACATGCTGAAGGGGTCTTAAAGCATGTCGTAATGAGAGATTCAGTCCTCTGGGAGCTCTCAGCCTTCTTTTAACATCCTCTGTAATGGCGGCTTACACTATGAAGTCCACTAAAATCGAGCTGAGCAAGAAAATAATGTAACATCGGGAACACACCCCATTTGGAGTCAAACGCTACTGCAAGCCATAACGGTTTGCACGGCGAAATACGAGGCCTGTAATAGTTGGCAGTAACTTATCAGAGGACTACCCTGTAGTCTTAGTCGAGCACTACTCCATTAGCGCTAGGTCGCTTACATATCTGAAATAAATGGATACGAGGATATCTCTTGATGAGACAAATAGCCGAAGATAAGGTGGATAAATTCGTGAACGGATGCAAAAGTACTAGCTACCTGCGCAAGGTACATACCCTGAAGATATAACGCACGGTATCTTTCCTACTGGGGCTTGCTTTGGGGAGCATGCTTGTTGAATGCAACATATGCCCAAAGAGCGTCGAAAGGGGGGAACGGGCACGGAAAAAACAACCGTAAGTGCCCGATAGGTCATCGAACAAAACGAGATCTCACGCCAAGACGGAGCAAGGTTTAGGAATCAAAATCTCGACGAAGTGGCGCCATAGAGGAGTTAATTGAGGCAGTAAGGAGCGTGTCCAAACTTCACGATATCCTACTTATCCTAAGAGGTTGTGGATATTTTTTCTTCCACCACCTTGTCCCCTTCTGCAAACATCAAGCGCCACCCCGTGGCAGCTCAGTCTCGCATCAGGTCAAGGCGCAGACTTTTGGGGACTGATGGAATCGAGATTGAAGAGTCGGAGACCCTACAGACCCTACACATGGAAATAAATCATAGTCCATCCAGGCCAACGCGACCCAGCGGGCTCAAAATAAGCTACTCGATTTCGGACTATTGTGACACGGAAACCTCGATCGAGGAACCACAAGCTAGGACCCTGAGTGCTCTGCCCACTCCATCCAAGAAGACTCGATCTAAGGCAAAGGAAGCAACCGAGCATCAGTGCGGAGAGGGAAGCCTAGCTGTCGAAGAGACTGAAAGGGCCATTGAGACCCTTTCGCTGTCAGTAAAGCTTGAAGACTATAGTGAAGATGCACCAGCTGGGCCATTGCGTCAACCTTCGCCGAAAAAGGCAAAAGAACCCAAAGTTCGTACGCGGACCACTAAGATAACGACCTGTATGTCCCCAAAATCACTGGCTTTGCTAAGTGGAATCGAGCCTATCTAGGCTCTATCGTCTATTGATTATCTATTTATCCTCTTACAGGTATGTTTAAATAAGGTATAACTTACAACCATCCGCCTACTAAGTGTTACGGACCTACCGACACCAATCAGTCGTGGGGCCGCAACTTACTGATGGGCCACCGAGAGCCAACCAATCTATCTGTCACCAAGGTCACGTGCAATACCCTATACTTTGGCACCCCAGGTATTTAGGGAAAAGAGAAAACCGTGATCATGCTCACTGAGCAGGAGCATGATCCGCCCTGAGCGGATCCGTCCGGTAGAGGTTATCCTGTACATATGTAGTTCTACAGGATGGAAACCTCTGCGCGCAAAAGGCCATTTTCGGCCTGCCGCTCGCCATCTCATTGTATACAGACGTTGCAGTTGAGATGGTAAAATTCTCAAGACAAGAATCTAGACGGTCCACAAATTGAAATAGCAGGCATGCCGTCTATGAACAGTTGACACTCTTGTACCGTGTAGCCCCAAGTGTCATAAGGGATCATCTAAGCGAGTCAAGGAGACACGAGCTTTGCCCAGATATCGTCGATGTGACGGCCTGAGAATCTCCTTGGTCGCCAAAACTTGATACCACCGCTCCAATTGTTGTCAGCAGAGCTTGTCTCAAAACCAAAGATTCTACCGAATACATGAATGTAGAACCTGTTGTTGAAATCTTGGCGGCGGACAGCGGAAGATCGTTATCCCGGTTTGAAAGCTCGCCTACGACATCGCAGATTCTTTTACTTTCGATTTTAGTGTTAGGTACTGTACGCTCAAAGTCGTGGTCGTGAAATTATGACTACTTCTTTTAACGAAATGACCGACGGTGAAAACCGTCAAACTATTGATAAAATAGTACACAACTTCATCTCTCAGCGCGATGAGAAAAGTCTGAACCCTCTTAGACTTGCCAGTCTCTCTGTTTCCGAATTCTCAACCGAATTGGCGAACCATTTATCCACAATAAATGAGGGTGGCAGTATTGCCCTTGGCCGTGGAGAAAATTTGGCCAGCATCAGCCTAAGCAAGAGCTTAGAGAGCCTTTTCTCAACCTCAACACCACGCGTGACGGAAGGGCCGCCGTTGACTTGGACGAAGCTTGTGCTTTTCACAAGTTCAAATTTTGAGGGCCCAACGCAGCTTAAGGTTGGCAATTCTAGCGTCGAGCTGCCCGAGTACGACCTCAAACTCTTACGCTCTGGTCGGCCTTGGCGGTTTCTCTCCCCTTGGCCAGATAGAGACGATTGCACGAAGGAGCTTCAGTCAAGCGAGACTGCACTGCAGGAGCTTTCCAATGCTCGGAAAGTAATAGACGAGGGTGAGTGTCTTGGAAATATGGCTTAACGATGTTATATGGGAAGCTAAAACCGATCAATATAGTCTTGGCACAAATCTCAATTGTTGAACAACGTCTCCGGAATCATCACGGTTTAGTGACTCAACTCTTTGAGAGTAGGGACCACGCCACCCACCAAGGTAAAAATTCAACCTGTGACGGTGCTCAGCCTTTTGTTCCAACCCAAGGAGCTTTTAGCCCAGAGCCTTTGGCAGAAGATGAAAGCCCAAGTTACCAAGATTCACCAACCATCCCTGCACCTATCCATTATGCTAGCAAAGCCGGATCGGCCCAGCCAGTTAACGAAGATCCGAATGATCAAACTCCGTCAGAAGATGCCACTGTAGGGAATCCTACTCAACGCGATGACTTTGGGCATGTAGACGACACAAGACCGGAGTCCAGATTACACACATCTGACTTTATTCAAAATCTAAGCGAGTAAGTGAAGCATATACTGGGCCTTGGATGTGCGTACTTATAGACTAACATGTGAAAGAATTCTTGATGATCCAAACAGTTGGGAAGTAATGCGCTGGTCAGAAGATGGGAAATCTGTCTTGATCGGCGAAGAAAGCATATTTCCTGCACACATGCTTGCAAAGATGTCCACAAAAAGCTACCAATCTCTTATTCGGCGGCTTTATTACTATGGCTTTCACAAAACTGGGGGGGCCTACCATCACAATTCCTTCACTCGTGGTCAGCCTAGCTCAATACGACCGGCTCGAGAGATGAGTCACAGCTCCTCACTTCCTTCGCCTTTACACCAAAGCACTTCTCAAGGTGGGCCTCGTTATAAAGTGATCAAAAGAAAGCGGACAAGAGATAGCGTTTAAAAATATACCCCAGTGGTGAAATGGGCTATGCCAGTAGCTGTTTCTCCACTTCAATAAAGGTTAATGCTCTCAAACGCTCAGTAAGATTCGCTGGTTCAGGCCCTTTATAGTACGACAACAGGAGTACCGTCTGTTCTTACCATCTGTGTGCGCGCTATTCTCCGAACAAAAGATTCTAGAATCAAAGCAATGGTCAGGCCTTGGAAGACGGGATTTCCATAACTTGATTGCTAAATCTGATAGACCTTCGTCATCTTGACCCTGGGAGTCCTCTTGCTCCCAGTGGCTTTGTTACGGCTTCTGGGAGCACTTAAGCCGTCTTTAGGAGTCATGTAGCCACCCGGAAACCCGACGCAGCTTCTAGGCCTTTTCCAGCCACCTCGGGAGCCAATGTCACGTTCCTATTGACAGCTTTGTTAACTCCTGGAATCTTAAGTGCGATTTCTTATACTAGAGTGTGGGCTTCCTGGATGTAATATAATGACCTAAATATGCGCGCAGTCTGCTGAACGTGTCTAGTGAGGGTATTCCGCGACCCTCAGAGGCAAAGATGGGCTCGGAGACCAGAATTAGGGCTCCAGGTCTGCAACAGCGCCCAAATTCAGCCAATGAGTTCCCAAAGTCGTTTAGCAATTACTTAGGTACTGGGCTGAAGGTCGCGGGAATGGATTTAGTTTCCCAGGAGCTAGGTTGGACTTTGCACAATAACATCGGTCAAATTGCTATCCAGTTTCTACGAGCGCAAAGTCGTCCGGAGCTACGACATAGTACTGTGGAAACCGATTATTTTGACCTATCAGCCGTGTGCCGTGTCCCCACCACTGAAAGCGCCTTTCCCAAGCGAGCCAGCAATTTAATTGCGACAATCATGCTCTAGTGGACCAATGCGAACCAGGACCATGACTTCCTTGCGTGGGGAGAGAGTGTCCAGTCTATGTGCGAAGCAGAACTGCAACGAGCAGGTCTCAATCTCACTGAGCTAGTTTCCAATTTTTTCGGGTACACAAATGGTAGGCATAAGCCGCGAATTTAAAAACCGTGTAACAACTAAATATTTATATACAAAGAGGACAAGTTGGAACCTACAGACATGTTTGGAATCAACGCTGAACGCTTGATTGCGGCCAAGGGAAAGTTTGACCTTTTTAACATATTCAACAAGCTGAATAACGTTCAGCAGAGTAGTTAAATAAGACACATCAGTAACACAAACGTCGAGGATGTTTGTAGACGCCCGTTTTATTGGGGATGAATATTGAAATGCGGCATGGATGTTAGAAGTTTTCTTGCTAGCAATGTATGAATGGCTCTTAGTGGCCTTTTCTCCAAAATACAAGCAAAGCATATCGGTAATGAATCTCCGTTGCTGAAAGTTTCAGGCTGAAGCTGCCATAGCCATGTGCTAGTTGCATGCAACTGTCAATTATGCAAGCCCTCACTTTGGTACTTAAAGTGCGAACTAGTCTCAAAGGAGAGTAGACATCTGTACTGTACATATTTCGCAATATGTGCTTCAAACAGGCTTTGTGTCACAAGAGGGCCATAGTGCAGCTAGATTAACGGACCTTACGGTGACAAAATGATGAACCTCATATGACGCTAGTCTAAAAGCAGTAGCCAAAAGCGCTGCAAACTGAGAAAACAATGTTGAAAAGCCCTAGCGGCTCATATATGTATTTATAATCCTCCTTTGCTCACCGACATGGCTAATACTCCTAGATGACCGACTTCGCGTCGTCGTCGCTCCCGAAAGAGTCCATCTTTAGGTCCGACCGCCTTTAGGCTGCGAGCTAATAACGTATTTCATCACCGAGTGGCCATCTCCAAAACACATAGTAAACGCGATTGATTACAACTTGGGATTTCAACAACGGTAGTCTATATGGAGTTTTCCTAATTGCCTAATGCTTTTTGGGTGATATCTAACTTCTCTAAGGAGTTTGGAAAATATTTGTGACTTCGTGATTGCGATATATATATTTCTGGCACTGAGCAACGTAATTTTCAACACCATGATAATGCAGTATTTCGGTTTTCTTAAAATTCATATATAGGGTTAAAAATCCTTATCAATAGCTATCTAATGAGAGTGAAATCACGCAATAATGCGGTTGTTGAAATATAAGGTTGTAAAATATTGCATTTACTATGTGTTTTGGAGATGGCCACTCGGTAGTGAAATACGTTAGCGTGCCTGGGAGAATGGAACCTGGGACCAGATATCATCTAGCACGGATCCAGACCTCACTGAATTTTTAAATCAAGAAGGCGAGCCAAACGCCACCGCTGTATGAGGCGCAGGAATATATGTACAGCGATTTTCGAAAACAGTTTACCCCTTGGACACTCTCACTTTGTTTGTCGGGCCGTACCCGAAACATACTTAACCCTTTTGGGACACCTGGTAAGATATTGGCCACTTATAGATTATTTTAGTTTACAGCCTAGCCGTATATAGCCTAGCGCCGTTTCGGGTACGGGCCGAGAAACGAAGTGAGAGTGTCCTAGGGGTAAACTGTTTTCGAAAATCGCTGTACTTCGTCTTGAGTCTTGTCTAGAAATATGAAGTCCGACTTATGATCTTTGTACGAACATGAGCTATGTAGTTACAAGAGAAACGTCTCAGGACAGTTTACCACCCGAGAGGCATCTCTTGATTCTGCATATGTAACGTACAGAGGATTTTGTGTGATTCACTATAAGCAGGCGATCACGACAATACAATCATGGGTTGCTGCCCCCAGGAATCATGATAACTTGAAAAGAACGTATTAAGGTCCCTGTTTTGAGATTAAATCCTCTTGTGAGGATCTTTTTGAGAGCAATACGTTCACGTGGGATATCACCGAAGCGTCACGAGCCTTACAAGGGGAGCGGCAAAACGGTATACAAGAATGAGACGAACGACATCTTGACAGCCCATCGCGGACCGCGACAATTCTTGTGGCGAGTAACCTATTCCCGCCGAGTCAGATAAGACCAGGGGGCCCGACCCGCCATCGCGTCTTTCCCCTCCTCACCGCCTTCACACCATGAAGAGCGGAGTGCCTCAACATCTCGCCGTCTACGCGAAGCGGTCTCCCAATGCAACTGTACAATTTCTTGTCACACGTGAGTTCGTCACGTGCCTTTGCCGTCTTGTGAACTTGCCGGCGCATCCAGCGCGGCTTCTCGAAGCGACAGCCGGAGAGTGCGACGAACCTGGATACAACATCATGTCAACATGGCATATTGGTGCCTGCATTGCCGAAGAGAATTGGCAGTGGTCTAGTTGATAAGCTGGTATGATGACGATCCTAATTGACCATCGGTCTCAAGCATACAGTCGGATTCTTCATGAACTGCGTAAAGTACAACACCTTGTCCAACTGGATCAACGCTTGCTGACTCGGATCTCACCATAGGAAGGAACCCTCAGATTCCCATGACTCGAATGTGAAGCGAGCAAATATCTTGTCTGCTCGAACTTCCCTACACCGAAACCATGGTTGGCTCTGTGTTTCCACATGACTACTGGTGGCATCGACGAGTCGCTGCCTCGAATTTCGCCCAGTCGACTGGGTTCATCAGATCATGCGTTGGTATGCCTACCCTATGCAAGGCCCAAAGGAGCTCATAGCGGTGTCCACAGGGTCAGCCTACCGGCTTGGATCCCTGGCGTCCATTGGTGTGACCATCGTTGTCCTCTGATGGCGTTTAGCGTCTTTCGAGCCTAAAAATCCGAAGACACCGGGAGGAGCAGATGTGTCGTCTTGCTAGAGCCGTATTTTCGTACACGGCGAGGTTGTTCGTCGAGTCTGCTTGCAAGGAGAATGTGAGGTGAAAGTCCCGTCATCTCTAGCCGAATCAACTAACAATAGCCATGCCAGCTTCGAATCGATGGACGAAACCGAGGACGGCCAAACGAAAGAGA